ACTGGTGTGTTCTCAAGGAGGGGAGGGGATACTGGTGTGTTCTCAAGGAGGGGGGGTACTGGTGTGTTCTCAAGGAAGGGGAGGGGGTAAAGAAACAAAATAGTCTTTGTGCTTTCATGAAAAGCAACCAGAAGCCGTTGATGTCCTGCCGCACAACGTGTGTATTTGCGTATACATACATGTACATACATGTACGGTACATGTACTCATTTTATAGCCATGGCCAGCAGACTTACAGTATACAAGTCTATCGGTACATACCATCCTAGGAAAATTGATGAGAGAGGTATTTACCACTTGAGACACCAAGTGCAATATTTCGATAATTGAAATGAGGTCTGGTGACAGATTACATGTACATGTGCCTCTTAACTCGCATGCCAAGTCACTGACGTGATGTTCATCTTGTGCAGCACTCTCATGCTATGTCTGCTTTGATGACAGACATGCGGTTCTTATCAAATTTGTCTTTCACAATTCATATTGGCACATCACATCTTCAGTCTGTTTTGCTGCTATAATGATAATAGTTCATTTTTAGGACACAGACTTCAATATTAATGTGAAAAATGAATCTAAAAAATGTACATGTACATTTTGTGATTAAGTGTGGATGTTTTCTAAAAAAAAACATTCTTTTTTAGTTCATACCAACATGATTTCATTTTATCAAAAGAATTACTTGTTTTCCTTTTTGTTAACTACCGTACATTGTACACAGCGCGATCAAAACTGATAAAAACAACCATAATCGTCATGCATTGTGTGAAATCAATTGCCAATGTACAACCATTATCATGTGATTTGATTTGCTTTATTAACCATCTTTGTTTGATAACTACTAATTCAGTTTTCATCCCCAAATTTGGGAAAAGAAAATGGACAGTAAAACAGTACTAAATAGCAGGTGTACGTGTACCTGGTAAGCCTGATCTAGTGAAGAAATGAATTAATTTATTTGAGGAATATGTTTGGATGATGTTGCCTTACTTTTGGATTGAACATTACTATACTCATTTTTCCCCCGTGATTTACATGTAGATTGTTGGGACATCGTTTGATCAGATTGATGGCAACATTGAGTCTCCATTCTATGAGACGATCTATGCTCTACTGGACAAGCACAGTCCTCAGTATAGACTCACATTTGGGGAGACCTTGGTTGACAAACTCCAGCTTCTTCAAACTGAACTGGAAGATCAGGAGGAGAAGGTGGAGACTATCAAAGATGTAAACAGAACTCACTGATGTTTACTTAGACGTTGCAGGGTAACACCCCCCATGGAAAGATGGAGAGTGTTTTGCCATGACAAGAGAAATTTCATTTCTTAGATCATCTTTACCTCTACAGAAGACGATAAACACATGCATGCAAGCATATATGTAATGTACATGTACATGCACTCAACAGCCATCTGCACCATTCAGTCTTGAATGTTCCTGCACCATCCAGTACATCTTGGTGTAAAGATGTGATTGTGACGAAAAGCTTTTTTCTAGGATATTAGCGCATAATGTTTTCCACCATTTTTAATGGAATAATGTCAGAATTTGCAGACTTCCATTTTGTGTTAAAACCTACATGTATGTTAAACTTGCAATATAATATTCTTGGCCTTGAACACACACCAGGGGTGGCTCTGGGAAGGAGGGGCAAAGGGGGTGCACGCCCCTCTCCCCTCATTCACCAAATTAAATAAAAAAGAAGAAAAAGATGGAAGACAGGAAAATAGTGGAGTACTGACGTACTGTTTGACTCCAGACCCCACGCTTTACAGGCATTTTACCATCACTACTTTAGTTCATGCTCCCCCTGTTTTGGAAAATGGGGGTCATACCCCCTTTTTTAAAAATGACTTGATATACATACATGTATTTGGATAGCTAACATACCTACATGTACATGTGGCTTCTACAAGTTAGAGAAAATATCCAACAGTATCCTTTGCATCTGAATGCAGACCAATTGTGTAGAACTAAAGTATATCTATTTTATTCTAAATTATACTTTAACTGGTACACGTACAAGTTCATAATAAAGTAACTGGAACAAATGAATGCTTCATTTGTTTGAGATGAACCAGAACATTCTACCGGTAGGTTACATATACAAGCATCAAGGGCACTTTAGATTATATATAGATTACTGCTCTGCTTTGTAAGATGTTAGTCTCTGTTATTTTAGTACTTCAAGTACAGTTTAGATTTTATGTATTGTTACTTTAATATGCTTTTCTCTGTCATTTTGTTTCCTGACACTGCATTGCAATGTACATGTACAGGTACATGTACAATGCTCTCAAATTTTCATTATGGATATCTATGATTGCTAGCAGTACTATAGGTGTGACAAATATTCTAAAAAGTCTTGACAATAATTTTGCAAATACTTCTATTTCTCACAGAAAGAGGTAAAATATTGAATCATGTGCAATACATGTACGGTACTAGTAAGTACCCTGGTAAATTTGAGTAAAGATACGTACGTAGGTTAATATGAACACAATCTTGTCCTGGTAAATAATATGGGCGATTCAAAAAAGTGCGCCACCAAGAGTTTGCAACGCATTGGCCAAGCACAATACGTGAAATCATTCAACTCTTTCCAAGTACACATTTGGTTGACAGATTTCGGCCATATTGCAAAAAACAATTTTAATATTGGCCGTGCATGTACATATACTTTGGAGTTGGCAGTTTGCCAGAAAGAGTAAAGAACACTTACAGCAGCTGTGTGTATAGTGGTACAGTTCATTTTAAAAGGGTTGTTTTGAACACAATTCTCTGTACAGCTACAATGTAATCACAGTGTGCTGAGATTCATGGAGCTTATTAAATACATCAAATACATGCACTCATGGGCTCTAAAATACCGATAGTTATTGGATAACATCTTCTACACTTTACGTTGTGCATGTAATGTACATGTACCTTTAATGTACTTGAAAGGTACATGTAGCTTTGCATGTTGGGTTTCAAATCATACAAACACGGCAAACCTGGCTGGGAAAAATAGGCTGTTTTCTTTCATAACACTCTCTTGTTGTATATGTTGATGGCAGTGTTTTCTGCACTCAGAGGGATCAATCAGTGTGAGGTTGATTAGATCTGAGACTACAGTGATCAACAGAAGCCTTCCAGGGCAGGTTCTTAAACCACTAAGGTCTGGGTCTGTTGAGTCCATGAATACTGAAGAAACAGCAGATTTAGGCAGCTTACCTGGAATTTGCGTGGATTTTGCATACCTGGCTGAATTCTTATTTTTTATATGTGTTCATAAATTTTTTTCACTGGAAGGTATTTTTGTGAATAATGATTACCCACTTAATCCTGCATAATATAAATATTAAATGTACATCTGTACCTATCAGACAGGATTGAATTAAGTCGGAGTACATGTATGTGTATACGGAACAGATGCACAAGAATTGGCTTTGTACATGCACACCAAGTGTCATATTTACAAGCACACCAAGTGTCATATTTACAAGCACACCAAGTGTCATATTTACAAGCACACCAAGTGTCATATTTACAAGCACACCAAGTGTCATACATTCAAAATTCAAATTTATTATTGTCCATGCAAAAATTCACATAGAAATTTACTTTCCATTGGCTTGTTGCAAACAATAAGTTATTGCATTCATGAATATTACAATCATACTCAATAAGAAAACATAAAGATTGCATTAAAGTAACATAAATGGCAATCACAGTCTACAAAGATAATAATTCCAAAATGATATTGCATATTCTCACCCTTTATTACCAATGAAAGTGTGTCGGGGGTATCCAAACAAATAGTTACCGCCTCACATTTGCATTATAACAGTGGATTGAATTGGGTACATGTGTAATTATTTACAGCACACTAAGTAATATATTAACAAGCACACTAAGTTTTTTATTTAGATGCTCACTAAGTTTTTGTTGCTACACTCTACATGTTTATTTTATTTTTCTCTTGTCAGTTTCAATGCCAATCCAAATGGAGTCATTTTCTATGGTTTAAAAGAAACAATTGGATATACACTTGCATGTACTAGAGGAAATGTATCACACTGCTCACAGCTAAAATTAACAGCTTGTCTGTGGTTTAGAGGTTTATATTTATTCATGGGACCAAAATTATTGTTTACTGTAGATAAGTAATGTGAAGGCAAACACATAATTTGTAGTGTATTGAATGCATTTTGGTGAATATTTGCAAGTGTTTCACAGTCTGCCTTTTTTCAATGTGGGAGTTGTTTTTGTGGAGTGCTTTGATTTTCATGTACAAAATATAGAATGCCCACCCTGAAATATCCTTGCCTTCCATTGTACATTTGGCTTAAATGACTTATGTTTCTTTCTGTCAATCATAACTTACAAAGTGTGTTATTGTACAGTAAAAGTCTAGTTTGTATGTTGTTAAATGCTGTTTTACTTTGTAAATTGTCCTGAATGGAAATTTGTCACTGAGCTGAAATGAGACAATGTAACAAATTACCTATTATTTCCATTTTATTTCATTTTCTTGATGTAAAAAGAGGATATTATTGCAAAGGGGTTGTCAGATCGTGGCCCCTCACAAATATATCTGCACAAATCAGTGTTAGTGTTGGAGAAAATAAAATCTCATTCAGTATTTGGTTGTGATTGAAATTCCACCTAGTCTATGTTAGTTTTTCATGTCATTTGGTCACAGTTATTGTATATAATAATTGTATTTTATTTAGCCATCTCAAAGCGGTACTTTATCTGATGATTAGCTTTGATATGTACATGCACATTAATGTCACATGGGCATGCACATTAATGTCACATAGACATGCACATTAATGTCCACACTTATTGAGAGACAGATACTTATGAACAGTTGCTTCATGAAATATGGACCTAACAGCATGTTTCCTGGCTGTAATTTAAGTAAAGAAGCTCACTTATGCACAACATGAAAATACAACTTAACTGTCGATTATAACTCATTTTGAAATACTTTTGTTAACTTAATGCCATGTTAGATTTTTTTTTTTCATACCAGTTCCCCATGCTGTAGCTGACAGACATTGTACATGTACCTGGTTTGTAAAGGTATCGTGCAGGGCTATGTTGAAGCATGGGCTGTTGTTGGTGATAATTCTTCAGAAAGACATGCATGCATGCATGTTGATAGGCCAGGGCGTGCAAAATTGATCTTGGCAGAGGGAATCCCCCCAAAATATCCACTAACTTTCTCTAGCAGATTTAAGTGCCCGAGTTAAACATTTTTTCACCCGTAATTTTATCAGACATTGAAACGATCTTGTCACAGTATGTCAGTCTTGTCATATAATGGGACATTCGTCTGTAGTGTGTAGAATGAGAAGCTCCATATGCAATGGCGTAAGTACGAGAGCATGTCTCCGCCCTCCAGTGGATGCCCACGCTCCCCTGCCCCCATTTGTAATCTGTTGAAAATCTTCGTTGAAATTAGCCCCCTGCAATTTGGCGTTTTAAACAGCTTATTTTCTTGTGATATTCCCTTGAAAAGCGTGCACCAATAAAACGGACCTCCTCAAGTATAGTCTTGTTGGGGGGTTAAAGTAGCAGAACGCTATTGAGGGCCGAAGAATGTACAACTACAAGCCAAATTCAGACGCTGGCACAGATGCAAGCTTTGGGCGGGAAATAGATGGTAAATGTAGATCATGACGGTAAAAATAGATTACATTAGGATTGAAGACGTGTTAAAGATATTCCCACATCAATGATCATCTTATACTAGTGTTTTCATTGCGGATATTAACGGGATCAAGTTCAACCGTTGCAACAGGCAAACAAATCCCTGACTGTACGCGCCTACTTTTCTGGCTTCTCATTGGCTACAGTGGTGTTGCGGGGGGAGGGTGGACACTTTGTCCGTGTGAACTCTTGCCCCCGAGAAGAGCGTGGCTACCGTACGCTCTTGATTAGCTAGCATAAAAATATCGATTTGATTGGGATTGCAAATTAGTTAGATAATTTGGCAGATTGCCATGAACTGGCTTTTTGCATTGTGTGTATAGTCAATTTCATTTAAAACACGCCCTCTTTAGATCCCGCTCGGAGCGGACACCTAATGTCGCGTACTGAACTGATGAATCAAGGTACCTTTCCACGTCAACACTTGCGCCAAGCATTGCGTATCCGTCAAAATGTTGACGGCTGGATACATTGCACTCGTGTGTTACGTTAATAAAGTCGATTTTTGTGTCTGTGAAAGTAAAACACATGAACGTATCGTGAACGCAACGCACCCAAAACGTACATATGGGTGCGCATCATGCCAATGCTGTACGCACGCTTCTAATGGCAATTGTCCAAGAATGCGTCTTGATAGACGCATTGCAGTAAATGACATTCTTTAATTGATTTCTTTAAAACGGCTACATCTAAATTTTTGGTGAATTTTGTTTAAATTATTGAAATTTTGTTCGTTTTCAAATGGAACGAAATACAGTTTTCATCGAAAAAGTTGAAAAAGTTACTCTGTGGACAATCGCAAAGGCTGGACTGTACCTTTAAAGCCTTGCCTCGACACCAATTGCTGGCTACCACCACACCGAACTAAAATAATTAGATTAAAAAAATTCTTCGGGCCAGCAGATGTCGTTTCCATGCCTTGGCAAATTGAACGCCATCTGGCTATTTGTTGGGCTTAACGCCGCTCTAGATGACAGTGGCGAACAGTGCGCGAGGATTTGCTTCTGAGAGCAGTGCTCGTGGCGTAGCTGGGATTTTACATTGCAACATGTGCAAAGAGGAAACAAAGAGGACACCTGCATCTTACAGGGGCACGAGCTTTCAGTCGTGCGTTTTTGGGGGGCAAGTTTTGGTAGCCTTGTTCAATATCCATTCATCCATTTTTAGTGGGGGGCACCGGAAATTTGTGGGGGACGTGCATGCCCCCAGCCTCCTCCCCCCACCGTGACTACGCCACTGCTTGAGGCAAAGCGGAGACTCTAGACTTGTCTTCAGACCGATTTTTTTGTAGTAGGTCGGTTGTAAAGACGTACAGCATCCACGGCGCTTTTAGTCATTACTGTTTCCGAATGGCACAACAGAGACGGCATGACATGGTTTCCCCTGCATATTGGCAGTAATGGTCTACAAGCAAGCAATTTGTAGAACCTGCCACGGACAGTGTACCTTGTCATTTACCACTGAGTGAACTGATGAAAACAGTTTGGTTGACAAGGTGTCCTTTCTTTATCTCCCATCTACAAAACTCGGGGTGTTATACACTTGTCTCAGAATCTCTGCTATTCATGAAATCATACCATTTACATACTGTCTGAACTGTTTGAAGGCGACTGTTCGTTGAGCCACGTTTGAGCTCAGTTTGCTTTATTCTTTTTACCTAGTTTAGTTTAATTGTTGTGTATGGTAGAAGACGTTTGGCCAAGTCAACTTGCAAACCAAAGTGAACACTTGTGGCTTTACAATCTTGATTAGTGTTATTACGAATGTAGACAATAAGAATGCTTAGGTCAGAAGTATGTACACTCTAAGAAATAAAGGTTCACAATTGCACCCCCATTGATACAGTAGCAGTACCCATAGTAAATGGTGCAAACCTGCACCCCGTTTGGGTGTGTTCATCCCTACTTGCGTGCATGCGCACCTACATTGGAGCATACACCAAGTACTAGGGGACAAATTTGCTGCACTTGAATTGGTGCTGGTATTGTATCAATGATAGGGTGCAAATTTGAACCTTTACTTCTTAGAATGTACGGCGGAATTAGAGTGAAATGTCGTTACCGTAAATTCCTTTTCTTGGGGCAATTTCTGAATGACACAAAAAATGCGATTGATCATAAAATTCCCCGATTGCTACGGAAACAAAAATTGAGCTTAACAATGAAATCGCCAATAATGGTAGATAGGCCCTACATGTACAGAATCAAGCGAGGAAGTAGCGAGGAACACTGCTCTGCATTTATTCATTCTAGCATTCGCTTGCGGTTATGCAAGCTTTTTCCAAATTAGGAGACATCACGGTATAATGAAAACAGTCATTGAGCCAAATTAATCATTTGCCACCACATGCAGTATCCGATTATTTATTTAGAACTCAGCAAATTGTGTAAAAATGTCAATTGATCAAAATTGATAATTGTGCAGATGAAATCGTCTTGATAAAGAGATGTTACACGTTACATTTCTTAGTTGAAGTTTTCATTATTCAGACACTGATTTATCAGTAAGTAATTATTCAGTACTGAGTACCACAAGATATGAAAAGCAACCAAAGATGTATAAACAATTTGATATCAAAGTTCAACTTCAGCACGGATAGACTTGGTGATTTATCAGTAGCAATTGGCTTTTATTTCACTGGAAGAAGTTGTGATAAAGTCACAGTGGGGGATATTCTGTCTGTCAGACACTTAAATTGTGTATGTATTGCTGTTTGTTTTCCGAAAATCATTGACTAGATTTACAATAGATTGTGTTTACACCATGAAGAAAAGTAACAATCGTTTTGTGTTGTTGCTGCAAATGTGTCTTGTGCATCAAAATGTGGAATCGCAGAAACGTCACATCATGTCTTATGTGATGGTTATTCATGCCCAGAATCAAAGAAGCACGGAAACATCTATATAACGTAAAATGCTGTAAAATGTTGCTCTTTACTTCTTATTCACAATGTCAAAGAACGGTTGAACAGTGTAGATAAAACGAACTAAACAAGTGACATTTTTGGACATATTCTTTGTTTACTTGACGTAGTATCTCCACTTTACAAGGTCTGCTGGTGGTATACCCGTTCGTCGTTTCTTGTGGTCAGTACTTCGAGAGAAAAACCAGCCACATGTAGGCTTGGCTAGGGTTGCAAAGGGGGCCACCGAATTGGATTTGATTCCTCCTTGAACGAAGAGACAATTGGACGGCGCTATTGGAGCTTCATATGGTATCTGTGATTTAGAAATTGGATTAAAGTGTTAGAACTGGATCTGCAATGGAAAGGAATCACGTTTTCTGAGGAAATTCATTTGCAAGGTTATAGTTGAAATTAAAAAAAAAAAACCAAAACAGGCACGTGAAATTACAAAAGACACTGGCGTTTCTGCTTGGTTTGGAATTTAAAATCCTGAATAGGTTTGCTCCATCCACCACGGGTGTAAACCTTTATAACGTTATTCGAGGCTTCTCAAAACGATGTGGGTCTCAAGACCAACTGAATCAAATTTTTGTTTTAATTATTACTTTCGAAATTTGAGACGAATAGAAAGAATACCGGTACTTCAAGGTCGTAAACATGCAAAGCTTACCTCTGAACTCGGTGCGCTCTTCATGCTGCTTGCTGGTGAAGATGGAAGCCCAACACCTGCTAGTGGGTCACTCAAGTTGAGATGACGAGAATACTTGTTGCGTGTATCGGTACCACGGTGAACTGCAGGTTGATTCCCTCTGATGTACGCGTGCCAGAAAGCCGGACACGGCAAGTTCTGCTGTCCGTATTTTCCCCCGAGAGGGAAGATATCTGTTTTGTTTTCTCCGTAAAAATGTTGGTTGATTAGGCCTTGGTAACCGGAATTGGGCATGATGATATTCTGATTATTGGTTCTGTTGAGAAAACTTTCAGAGCGTTCTCTTACACCTCGTTGAACACTACACAGATTTATCAGCCTTGCCACGTCTGACTTAAGTCCACTGTAGCCTGCAGGGCTATCTAAAGAAACTTGCTGAAACCTGCTTCCGCTGTGTTCTTATTTGCGGTAAAATGCAGCCAGCCTTTGGCCGACTTCACAGGGCAACCGTCCTGTGCGGCAACGAAGTTGGTTACGGCTTCGCTCTCCGCACGCTTATCTACTTCCACCGTCTCGTTGACAGGAATGGACTAGTTGCTAACTATGATGCAATGACAAGACAACTTATTGTACAAATATTGATTCCCATAGATAGCAGGAGGCCAACCTGCACAGTGTACATCAAGTTGTATTGTGAAAAAGCAACACGCGAAACGCATTGACAAGTAACAAACACAAACGAAAAAGTCATTGTTGTGTGGCCTTTGCGCCACCTCATTACGCATACATGTTACAGCGTTGTAACCCCAGCAACGTGTCAAAAAGTGGCTATCGCCACACTAATCATGATTTCATTTCGGTGTTTGTGTAACCCCATATGGTCTTAATAATATCAAAAGAATGCTTGTTCGAAGAGCTGCTGAAGGTCAGCATTACATATACTTATCTGTGCAAATAAGTTTCACTTTTAAAAGCTAGGAAAAGATAATTCCATGCGCGTTACGCGCATCTTGCTGAAGATGGACAAAGAAGTGACGTCAGAATCATAAGCTTACGCTGGCGCTCTGGATCTTTGTACAACAGAAACTTTTTGTAAACGTGAGTACTCAGAGTACATCAACTTGCAGAAGCTTGCGCATGTTAACCATCTAAGCGCATTAGTTAGCTTCCATGCATACTTTTCTTCGTAAATCTGATCCTTCTTGGGTCTAATGGGGATTGGTCGAGATGGGCCCACCTAGCACGGATGACATCCCGTCCTCCACACAGATAATTGATGTCTCCCGAACTGTGCAGTCAAGCGATTTGTTTACACCTTACAGAGAACCTAGAGTTACACTGCCAACCATTAGGTTTGTAAAGGTTTTGTTTTGCCTATCTCATTCATCGTGCGATTGCTTGTGGCTCCTGACATGTCAGGGATTTGATGGAAATTTTGTGTACTGCACACACTCGAATCTAGTAGACACACATAGACGCGTGCTGGATCTTCAGAAAGGTTCAAGCACGATTCAGGAGATTCAAGTATCGTTTACAACGGGCAAGATGTTAAAGTCTTTTTTTTTTCAATTTACACATTTCTGAAAATAATTATTAAACTTGTCTCCGCCTAATATAAGTAGGCCTATAGCACGAACAATTCAGTCGGGCGGTGCACTCAGTGCGTTGAACAAAACAGTCCAGGCCTATGCTTATCCTCATATGCGTTATTTTTACCTGTATCCAGGAAGTTTAAACAGAATGCCCTTCCATTCGGTGGGAAGTTCTGGGGTGGATCCTTGACAGAGTACGGCGGGATTGGGGACCTGTCTTTTATTGGTCGTCAGCGAGTGAGGGATTTAGAAGTTACCAGAGGTCACAGGCATTATCGCAGCGGGTTCAGCAAATAGTACGTACACCTTTTATTTGTTTTTCTATTATCTCAAGTATTCCTCCGCATTACGACGAACACTTTTGTATTCAGACGGAGGTTTCTCCTGTTTAACCCTAAAAGAGCCGGGGGCAGAATCCGCCTCCTCGATATTTTGTCGTCACAAGTACTCTTTTAAGAGCTGAGCCTTAAGAGTTTTAGAGTAACTCTTTGCAGTCTAGCTTTTTGATACCAATCTTGTGAAAATTGAACGTACCGTTCTTGTGCAGCGCGCACTTTTCCTAGACAGGTCAGTTAAAATGTATATTTCCACTGCACTGCTGGCACACATTTAGCCTTAATGTTAATGACCGTAACAACAAAACCATATGTTTGATTGAGTTCAAACTTCACATTTGTAATGATGAGGATTATTTTTACATGCATGCTACGTTATAAAAAATCGAGCGTGGCATATCCGAGTGCAATCCGCCCCCCGGCTGTGAGATGGGCCAAAAATAAACTTGCTCTTTTCAGTAATTCTCAGTAATGAATTCCGTTATCATGTAAGGTACCTTTTCCTTGGCTATTTATCCTCCCTTTTGGCCTTTCCAATCTGTCTTTCGTTAATACCGTTTGTTCTTACCTATTTTATTTCAAGTCAAGATGATGCATTTTCAATATCTGAAGTACGGTTCCATTCTTATCTGCCTTTAGTTTGACAGACGTTCAGCCATATCGACTGACAGAACTTCACCTCAGCGAGTGTCGACTGAATGATCAAATGTAAGCATTTTGTGGAAGATTTTATAAATAAAGATCTTCACTCACACTCCTTTTGGTGTGTAAATTGAAATGTCTCATCACACAGAAGCAACCAATGATGATGTTGTTCTTTACTCATCTCGCATGGATATCCCTTTATGATGAGAAGCAAGAAGAACTGTTAGAACCAAAACCAGTGCCGATAAACTGTTTCATGAAAATAGAAAATGCAATTTGTCCGTCATACTAATACTTTCTCTGTAAATCGGAAAGAGTGAAATTAGGGACAAGACGTTTTGGAGTGAAAATCACGCTGATTTTAGACTGAAAAAGGCTAAAAATAGCCCCTTCCAGTGGAAGCTCGAGTGAGATTTCAATCTTTTGGAGAGAGGAAATTTCACTCAAATTCGTCTGGTCCTTAATTTCAATCAGAGGGATTGAATTTTCACTCGTGTAGAGTGAATTTTCACTCTTTGCAATTTAGAGCTCAGTTCTAAAACGTTTGTGATTCTCAAAAGGACCATACGCACAAAATGATAGACTCCCACAGTGTTAATTTAAAACTACATGTATATAGACCCAACACAGTGTTGTCATTACAGGCGAGGGGTAACTGGAGACCTGCTTCCAGTGGAAGTCATTGCCCCTTTGACATTTTGACTTGTACACAACCCACATGTACCGTGTGGAAGCTGCAATTGTTTGTCTTTCAGTTCCTCAAAGACAAAAAAAGTGTGCTTCCCAGAAATTAACCGTAGTTTCGTCACTGATCAAATACCAAAATGCAACCATTCAAGTGTAATTTTAAGGATTACAATATGGTACTAAGGGTTGTTGGCAAAATCGTATCGTCCGGTACATGTTTTTTCAGCTATTGTTATTCTCTGTTATTTACAGACTCCCAGCGCCACTTAAAACAGACATCAGCAAGTGAGTGCACATCCTAGATTAGAAACCCTGAAACGCAATACATGCAGTTAGTTTTCCTGGTAGACCTACTACAGTTCCCAATAAGTACAAGCAAGTATTTGAGCACGACATTTATGTAACATTATTTGTAACTTTTCAGTGAAATCTTTGGTTTTAAATTGTTTTCTAATATTTTCTTGTCTTCAAAAAGGCTTAATTGGCAGCAAACGTACCCCTGGCCGGACAGCCAAGCCTATGGAACTCATCGTTCAATATTTGAGGTTTTCCCTTCCGTGAAAGTGCAGCCACTGCAGTCCGATCAAAGTATTTTTCCACTATACTTATTGTATACTGGAGCCTCAGGGACCGACCTGTAACATTTGTTTCTATAGCCAATTCGATCATTTTGCTGTGAGTGGCTTATCCAGGTTTTGATCCCAATAGGACGGTTCTGGTACACATTAAATTTGTTTTTATAAACACCTTTCAATTCTCCCATCTGTCAAAGAATTCTCAACCCAACCCTCCCTTTGGAAGGTGGTAGAACAATTTCTGAAATGCTTGTGCTTTTTAATTCATAAATATATTTAAAACCAAAATATTGACAATCCGTATCCCGTGATGAGAGGATGTAGGCTCAACCTTCCCTCTCCTCCACAGGATACGCACGCGTTTAAATTTGGTTGCTGATTTTTTTCTCAGAGAAATGAAGCAATATTGATAAATTTACTTCATGATTCATGACTATGACTCTCTGTCCTGAGCTAGGACTAGATCAGGATGGGACACAATGAACATTTTCAACACTTGCATGAGATTTTTTTTGGGGGGGGGTAGACAAAGACTAACTTTTGCAGCGCTCGGTATAGGGGCAGCTATAAGTCATTGAACGGTGCATTTTGCTTAATAATGATGTAGTTAAATGTGTTCATGTCTTTTTCGCAGACGCGTTAGGCGGTTCCAGAAACTTAAATGCCCAGGTAAGCTTGTCAGACTTCATTTTGACATTTTAAAAATATCAGAGAGAAAGACAATTGAAATAGAAACACAAATGTGTAACATCTTCATCAGTGAAAGATAAAGAGTCATCTTACGATTATAAGTCTATAATCTCTTCACTGTCTTTCAATTAAGCTACAAGGACTTAGAAAGACCACCCGAAAGGCACTTCTTGATTTGAATAAGAGACAGTACCAGACGACGCTCTACCTAGATTCCTACCGCCAAAACCTCGGCCTGCCACCAGCAAAGTCACCTGTGACGGAAGACGAAAGAGGCAGTACTGACGCAGAAAAGATAAATGATGCAGGCAAGGAATGTATAAACAGGGAAAACGAAGAAGGCAAAAATGAAACAACAGGGGAGGAAGTCGAAGAAGGGGAAAAGGGCACGAGAGAAGACGCGCCCAATCAAGCACCCTCCAATCTCAACTTACTTGAGACAAATTCTTTCACGCAACTCATCTTTGATGACACCGCACAGATCACGGAGGAAGCCAATAAACCAAAAGCAGGTGTTGGTCCATGCTGGCCCCCTGGTGACAGTTACGTCATTGATAATATCAAAGGTTCTCAGTTAGTTGAGCGAACTGATATTACACAGCCACTGCATGTGTATTATGAAGTCAAAAGACCCACGGAAGACAAGAAACCACGTAGACTATTATCCACCAGAACTAGACTTGAAAAGCAACTCCATGAAGTCCTTGTTCGTGGTCATAAGAGAGAGGGCGCTCCTCTCTCCGTAATCACTTGGAAATCGCAAGATGCGTTTTTGAAAGAGAGAATGGCAGAATCACACATTGCAGAAAAGCTACATGCATCCGATCAGACACAAGATGACTCTACATCAGCTGGTGGAGTTCATGGAATTGCACCTTGTCATAGAAAAACAGACTTCGGCAGGAAAGCATGCGTCGAACGCCCCGAAAAACCGGCATTACACAGTATTGACCCATCACCATTTGTTCCACTGAGCTCCGATAAAGCACCGCTGTTGTTGCCACCGGCTCCTCTGGCTGACTGCTTACCAACGGCTGGTTCGCGTATCCCTCATAAGCTGGGTCTTCGATACAAGTCAGAAGCGCACAAAAGGTACCTTGACAGCTGCAGCCAAATCCAACCTTTACATGCTATTCAAAGTGACCCGAAAAAGGAGACAAAGGGGACCTACAAAGGGCCTTTAAAACGTTTTCCCCATTTCTGTATTAAAAATGAGTTTGGCCATGTTTTCGCGTTTCTGAACATTCTGTAAAAGACAGAATACGTGTTCATAGTGTAGTATCGTTAAGAAAGACATCATCTTAACATAAGATATCACGTGGGACGTCTGTCTCATGGATATTGAATGGAAGGCGTTTTTCTTATGTATTCCTCTGACAACTGTCTTGCTTATTAATTTTGTATTATCATGACACTTGGTCGCTGACGGTCTTCCCCGCTTAAAAGAGATCTATCTACAACACGCGGAAACCCAATTTCCGTATACCCAGTATTATTTCTTATTCACCTAAATTGATTTAGAAGACAATAATTAGATTTTTTTGTCTGGTTATGCCATTTAAACTTTATTCATGAATATGCAAGCAGTTCAGCCATTTCTGTTGGTCGAGAGCCCATTACGCCAGTGTGTTACCTGGGAGCAATAAGTGCATTTGGGTTCCTGTCCATATTAGCTCTCGCAGATTTTCTCCGGATAATCTGGTTTCCTCCTGCCTCTAAAACTGGGCCTTCCTCCTAACTCTGTAATGCAATGCTGATTAATAAAGCGTATGAATAATCGTACAGTTATTAGCGCAAATAGCCGCAGTTGCTGAAAGCGCTATTAAAACAAAAACAACAACATATAGTGCGCCACCTCTCGCCGTGCGCGCGCGCCAATTTCTACCTGAGGATTACACGCAAGAGCCACGTACCCCTCAGAAAATGGTAGAGGTGTACGTGTGTTTGAAAAAAGGAAGCTATACTTGTGTATTTGTAAATCGTTGGAAAGATGTAAATTAAACTTCTTTTGCTGTCTGAATTACAAAAAAATTAAACGTTTGCTTGGTTTGTTGTAAATGTTCGTAATTACCAGCTCTGGAGACTTCACATTCTGATGACGTGTCTCGCTCCGGCTCAAGTCGTATTTAGGGCCCACTTTCCTGACTGGTCCCAGAATTTCGCAAATCTGTGCCAATATGCATGCACTTCTATCCTTTAGAAACCAAAGGTTGACAGCGTAAATTTTGAATTAAATTGATATTTCATCAGGTTTTCCCCCCAAAATCATCCGAGAGAGTACAGGTAACTTTGTCTGAGTTCGAATTGTTTGATTTTCTTTGCAGGTACCAATTGACGTATCCCGAGAAAATGCCAGACCTCAGAACTAACCGCAAAGAAGGAAAAAAATATTTCTTCTACAGCTTTCATTCCTCGGCATTTAGAGGATAACCGAGCATACGTCAGCATAAGGCGTTCACAAAAATACATTCATAACAGTAATGTGAATAATGATGTTATGATTTATTTAAAAAGAATTTTTGAAACTGTCGTTGGGAACCCTTTTCAAGCATCCCAACAAAAATCCTGTGGTGTAAATTGACACTCATTTCCCACCTCGGTATTTTCTATGTTTAAATTGGTAAGTGTTCTGTCATAATATCTTTAAATTAAAGGAACCCCCTTTTGTGATGATTTTGTAATGAGATCATAATATTGTATAGACTGATATCTCATAACACAAATCAAATAAATGAAAAATTAGACACAAATACTTTCCACACCTGGTAATGTTTAATTGTCAACATTTGCATTTTGGGATACAAAGAATTTCGCTTTGTAATATTGGTTATCCTAAATATTTGAAATAATTGCTGGGATATAGCTGTATTTAAACTCAAATAAATTTATAAAGCAACCGAACGTTTGTGATTTATTGATTCCTGCTGTATTCACATTGTAGCAGTAGATAGCGGAAAGGGCCCGGGACAGTAGTTTTGCCGGATAGCAAAGCAAGTAGCAGACTGACAAGCCATTGCCTGACCCCCATTCTGAGGAGATAATTGCTAATTTTCACCACTTTAATTTCCTGTTTTCTTTTTCTTTTATTTCCTTTTAAAGACCCCCCCCCGTTCAGGAGAGGCGTGAAACTTTAATTAGGCTACTCACATTTCTCCCCTTTGCGACACCTATGCCTCTCTGTCGTCCCTGAGCTCAGTCGATAACATACCAAGGTCCTTATAAGGACTATATAAATTGCGTGTTTCATAGGTACATGTACTGGGCACTACGTCGAGGCGCGGCGGACCTGGCCATGACCCGCGCGCGGCCCAGGCAGCGAGACACTGTCAATCCTTGACCACCTGTAGATCGACAGTTTTCTGCACCTACTGGCAAAGTAACAGCCTCGCTAGTCAAAATGTAGTGTAATTTCGTTACACGTACACGGGATGCGGTTCAGTACAATATAGTGCGCGCTGATGCGTGACACATTACTATACAGTCAGTGGTGTAGGTTGACCTGCAAAACCATGTTATTTTCTACGGCTCTTGCGCTGCAGTGAATCTGTATTTTGACAGAACTCTGTATAACCAGAGTTAGGGCCTACATGGTTTGAAACAGTAAGGCTGTATATTTGGCACAACAAAGGTAAGGTTTTATTTTATGCCTGAAGTAATTTTGAAACTGTACATGGTAGGTCGGCAGTACCAGCCTATGGTAGAACTGCAGCATAGCAGAAATGCTGTTTCCTAACGACAGTGGTACCACTACACTGCAGGCTTACATGTAGGCTATCTGAAATGTGTCATGAATGTTCAGCTCAGTCTTGAAACATGAAACTAGTGCATATTTATTGTAGGCCTACTTCTCCATCCTGAGTTGATTTGCTTTTGAGTGGAATCCATTGACATGGCCTACAGTTGGCGGTTTACGCAAGAGTCAAGATTACCCTAATTTTCTAAACATGTAAATATACACATCGCGTATGAAGTGCACAAGCTTTTGCCCTTGAGTCCATGAAAATTAGCCAGTTCAAAAGAAAAGTCTACAATTACAAACCTTAACAAGGAAAAGGCATGTTAGACCGAATTCAATAGTGCATTTTTATTCAGATTTGTTACAAAACAAGGGAATACATATTCGTGTAGCAGCTTTGTTTTTATCACAAGTCACTGTCATTTTTGTCAAAAGTCGCTTTCTTGGCTTGCAGACTTTTGATATCAACATGATCCTATCATGGAGGTAGGGAAAGAATGCTACAGCCAAGGACAGAATGGCTAATACTGCATGGGTAATTTTGCATTCTGGAAAGGAGCGACCTTTGTCCCTTTTCCTTCCCTTTATGCCTTTCTACCGTAGTGTAAAATTACCTGTGCGGTATTATTTCATAAGCGTCAATATTATTAAAGCTTATGAAATTTTGCTAGTCCTGACTTGTACATGTAGTTGTACTATAAGGTGTACATGTACACATAGGCCTAGTTAATGTTTTCATGTGGGTACGTGCACATCACATGGTGGAATAAAAATTCTCCATAGTCTCACAATTGGGGGCTGTATCTGTAGTCTAGATCAGAGAAACAGCCAATGTGTTACAAATTCATCAGCTTCTCCATGGAAGAATAAGAACACACCGTACCGATTTCATGGCTTAGGGTTTAAGATACATGTATGCATTTTTGTTGTTTGATACTCTGTAAACGGAGACGCCAGTGTTCTCAAGGAACAAAGTTCTTTGAATTTAGGAGAATAAAGTTCTGCTATTCAAGAGCAAAGGATCAGAGGGAAGCAGCAGCCTGCTCTTGATGGTGCACACACCTGTACAGTCTGTGGCCATGCCTGTGCATCAAAAATAGGTCTGTACTCTTACATGAGGACACATCCTGGACAATAAGTTACAATGTACATGTACCTACCTTGCTCCTCATGTGTTGCATTGACAGGAGAATCCACTTATACACGTACCGGGTACCAAGTTTAACATGGACCCGTATACCTGTAACGTGAATTTGTGTTGGTCATCTGAAAATTGTCTAGGCTTAAGCATGAGTGCATCTGCAGTACATATACACTGGCAACAATTTAACAGTTAATACATTCCGTAACAAAAATTTGAAAACACTGAATCACAGTGTTTTCAATTTTTTTCTCATAATCAACTACATGTAGGCTAAGAGTGCCAAAACACCTGTTGTAATAATTTTTTTTACCAAACCTACTGAAATCAGCCAAATCACGCTGATCTCCCTCCATCCGCCAAAGTTTAGCTGAACCGCATTTTCCATCATGAAGATCCCTATACAAAGTTGTCTTCCTTAGCAAAGAGGGCAAAACTATGGGCAAACTCATTATATGATATCGTTTTCGTGAAGAGACAAACTTGACTCTGGAAAATATTTGCGCGTGGCTTGTGTTATGGCAAAAACATGTACCGGTACATACATGTATATGTACCAGGTACAGTGTACTTGTACTGTTACACATAGTGCCGTTTACACAGAGACAAAGCCACGAGAATTTTAGCATTTTACGAACAGACGAAAATGTTTGTTTACAAAATAAACAATTTTAATTGATTTCTCTAAATATTATTTTGTAGTTTTTTGTCATTTAAGATTCCTTATTTCAGGAAGTACTGATAACATTGATTAAGTCAAAAGAAAGCTAAATACTAGGGGAATAATGTGTTTGAAAAAGAGACCAAATACAAATTTACATGTACAATGTATGCAAATTTTTTGAAAACTTGTTATTACTCTCTGGCGAGACTTTTGTCTCTTTATGAAAAAGATTATGATATGCAGTATGTTTGTAAACTATACATACTTGTACGTAGGTACAGGTATACCAGTATGTTCAGTGCATCATTGAATCAAAATAGAAATACATGTACATACTGCATCATGTACAGGTACATGTAATTGGCAAACCTGCTGTTAATACATACATGTACATGTAGTAGGCACAATACATGTACACGTTAAGTACTGTTCATACTGTACATGTACATGTATGTACCATAAACACATTGTATAATACAATGTACATGTACTAGTGCTGTATACAAGTGCATCTGCTGGGATAAAATGTACCACTACATGAACCGGTAGAACAGTAAATATCAGGAATATGAAAACTTTCCTGTGACCAAAAAAAGACCTTCACATTTCTTCCTCATGGATTGTTTTGTGTGATGGTGACGTGGGAAAAAATTGTCCCTGCTTTCAATTGTAAAATTCAGTGATGTGTGAAGAGTAGGCTTTGTGAAAGGCAGGGTGTAATTCTCAAGTGGTATTTGTGTACATTAGAAGACATGTGCACACACATACACGTAGGTGGCCATGTAAAGTACATGTAGGAATGTACATTTCCTGTGAGTTGTAACTTTCAAATGTTGCGCTACATGTAAACTTTTTGTGCTATTACAAAATGAACTTAATACCTCCTGGAAGACACCCTGCAATAAATTAGACATTTTGATGAATGCCAGTGACCAACATTTTGTTTTAAAATGTCATCGAGCATTGACGTACATGCTGTGCTTGGACTTGAATTAACTGAATTCTCACATGTCCATGTATGTATACTGTACATGCATCCATGTACTTGCACAGTACTACTACATCACTGACTACCCAGAACAGAAATTTGTTCCCCATGACATTTTTGGTTTCTACAATCTGACAATGTGTTTATTTCAACACGTTTGTCCCCACAACTCAGTAACAAAGTTCTACATGTACATGTAACAGTGTACTGTACGTGTTGAATGTCGATTGGGGAAATTGTTTACTTACATGTACATGTTTGGTACCAATGTATAGGCAAGTTTTAATCAATGTGTCAAATAAGACTAAATACCACATTGTTACATGTAACTGTATGCAACTGGATCTGATAATAATGAGCCAGTTTGCTATTTTAATAACACATGCCTGAAATGAAGTGCATCGGAGCTCAAGTCGAATTCATACATGTACAGTGTACATGTACCAAGATCTACAGTACCGGTACCTTATCAGTGCTGCTTTACAGGGACTTGTGTGAATGATCTTGCTTTTCTAAAATACTAATCTAGCTCACTGTAAATCACAACTGCACGTACACGTATGTATGTGTACTTGCAAGTTCAATCTGTTGTCTGGACTTTGGCATTAATTTACTCCTTGTACATACCGGAAGATTGTAATATTATGTACAGTTCCATTCAGTCAATGACTTGTATTGTTTGATTTTAAATGAACAAACTACCATTCTCTATGTACATGTAGAGAGAAGGACAAGGTTCAGGAACCTTAGTCTTTATTACATGTACATGTAATAAAGTTGTAGAACTTAGAACTGCAAAATCCTACATACATGTACATGTATGTAGTCTACTACTACTAGTACCCTTTGTAGGGGGGGACTGGACTTTATTTGACAGCCAATGGTGCTGTTTAACATTTTATTATTGCTGGTGTTTTATTATTGTTCGTTTTTAATTAAAGTAAAGGTCAAAGTATTGGGCATGGCTTTAACTGTTTTAGCTGGCCTGTGAAATTTGTAATATTTTATAATTAGGGATTTTAAATGTACATGTGTCGGTGATAATCATATGATTTTACGTGTTGTAATATGATTAAGGATCAAGTTTTTATTTGTAAAGCCAATTGTAGAATCTTTAATTCATAATATGCCATCAACAGTTAAATGTGTAGGGTCCTTGCAGTGTTTTAAATCTTCTCTAAAAACATACCTTTTCAAGTCTTGAATGTTTTCGAATTCATGTGCATGTACATGTATGTTCGGATTTCAATAGTTTTTGACATTGCTGGTGTTTTATTGCTAGTTCCAAGGTAAATGTCAAGGTATGGGGCATTGCTTCAACTGTTTTAGGTGGCCTGCTTATGGTAATTTGTGTTATTCTATAAATAGGGGT